TGAGTCATCGTGGCTCTGCGCACTGCCCAGACTTAGGGATGCTATTGGTTGCCCACACCAGTCTGAACATGGGCAGACCTTGATGCAGAGAGCTGCCCACACCTGCACCCTCCTCCTTAGTTCCTTCCTTCTTCCCTCTGTTACACTAAGCTCCAGGATGCTTGGATGGCAGGTACCCTGTGGTTCCACTAGCATCTGAGGCTTCTGCCCTAGTGCCTGGGCACATTGTAGCTCTGTCTGTCACGCAGGTTTCCCATGCGAGACTGGCAGCCCATTATCCTCACAGAAGCCCTCCCTGGGCTCCATGGCGCTCCTTTGCAGCCTCCTGGACTCTGGAGACGTGTGCACCCGAGACCAGCTTCTTTATGGCCCTGAGAGTTATGCAGCTCCCCTCATCACCTTTCATGATTTCTGACAAGTCCCTTGTCACATTCTCAGTGGAAAGTAAGCTCGCTGAGTACAGAGACAGCCTGACTAGGAGAGGACAAGGTATGGAGCCTGGTCCTCCAGGAATTCTCCTGGATCATTACATCAGGGGCACCAGTGGCACTCTGTCCCATTGAAAGGCCCCTCCTCCCTCCAGGAACACTGCACAGGGCTCTTGTCTTTTCCCTTGTCACAGTGCTTAGTATTCTGAACACTTTTGGCTACAGGTGGGAAAAACTCACCACACAAAAATGTGTAGGAACAAATGTGGGACTTTATGGAGGCCGCAGAGTAGGGACTTCGGTAGAGTCTCCAGACGTTGTCCTGGTCACTGCACTGGCCTCGTTACTGTGGTTGGGGATCTCCAGGACTGTCTCTGGGACAGATTTGCTCTGTGGGTATAGCCCCCTGCACCCATTTCTCCAGCCATGACACTGTTGCCAGTGGCTCAGTGGTCATATCTACAAAGGCAGGGTAGGGTCTTGTGGAACGCTGGTCCTGTAGCTGTCCTCCACATGGTTTCCCATCTCATAGGTCTCCTGCTGCCATGAAGAGAAGACCGTCTGCTGTAGCCATATCACACCATCATATCACCCACCCCACACAGCAAACATGGCTTCACCCATGCTGGCCATCTTGGATAGACACCTGGAAAGGTGAGGCCTGCAAGCATCCTATCCCAGACCACTAGGGAATAGCACCTGACTCCCAAGCCCTAGGCTCCTGCCCCTTGCCTCTGCTGGTGTAAGCTCTGTCTGGGTGCAGAGATCTGGGCTTTTCCAGGGGGGAAAGGATCCTATCTATCTGTGGGCCAGCTTCTCAGGCAGCGATGGAATGTCCTGCCTCACGACCCGCAGGGACTAGGTCACATTCTCAAGTTCATGCTGTCCTATCCTGTGTGGCTTGTGCCGTTAGAGAAAGTCTCACAGAAAGCCTTGTGTAAATAAGGTGGATGGGGGTGCTGTGACAGGACCTTGTGCTGGCATGTGAAATTCCATGGCCACCACAGTCTGATCACACAAACCTGGTAGGATGGTAAGTACACATTGTAGGGAAAATGGCCAGCCAAAGAAACACACCCTGAGCAGAGCCAAAAAACATACTTTGACCCTGTAACCAGAACCAAAGAAATGCACCCTGACCCTGAAACCAGTGCCAAAGAAACACACTTTGGCCCCGGAATCAGAGCCGGCGAAAGAAATACACGCTGGCCCTAAAATTAGAGCCAAAATGCTAAAAGAACCAGTGAAAGAAACACACTTTGGACCTGAAACCACAGCCAAAACAAACCCTAAGCCTGTGCAGAAAACTAACCAATCCCTGAGCAGGAAATCTAGACATTCTGAGCTCAGGGAGTGAAATCTAACCAATTCCCACCATGGAAACCTCCCTGGAAAAAACTCTGCCCCCTAGTGTCTGTTCATCTCTTGGCTGTAGGGCTGCCAGGAAGCCCTGTCCTGCTGGACCAGAGCTGATGCACTGGGGAAGCCTTTCCCTGAAGTAGGGCTGTAAGCTGCTATGCTTACTGCGACCTGTGGTAGTCCTTGGCTCCCGATTGCCAGACTACCTTTCCATCCGAGCTGTAACACTCTGTGTTCTGTGGCTCCCGAGTGCCAGAACCCTTTTCCTTCTGAGCTGTACAACTCAGTATTCTTTGGCTACACAGTGCCAGAATCCGCATCCATCCCATCAGAGCCGTGGAAATGGTTACACACATGGATAATAAGTACTGGAAACAGCGCTCGACTTCCTCAGCCAGGGGGATGCCACATACAAAACCTGCTGTGCTCCATCTAATGCAAGGCAGAATGGCCATGTGAAAGTAACAATGGACAAGGAGTGGCACTGGGGATCTGGGGGAAGGGGAACACTCAGTCACTGCTGGGCAGAGTGTGAACTTGGGGAACTACGATGGGAATGAGCATGGCACTTTCTCACAGGCTAGAAAAAGAACTACCCTATATCCCAGCTTTGCGGCTCTTGGTCATAGACACAAAAGACTAAATCTACACATCACAGAGATATTGTGCATCCTTTGGTATGGCTGTGCTATTCACAGCACTCAGCAATGGAAGGAAGCTAGATAAACCTTTAGGGATGAGCACTTCAAGAAAGCAGGGTGCACACACACAGGATGGGATTTTAAGCAGCCACAAAGAGGAATGAAATCAAGGCATTTGCAAGGACACAGATGCAACTGGAGAGCCAGACTGAGACAAGTAGCAATTTTTCTGCAACTGTGCACCCAAGATTTAAACTTGTTTGGGGCAGCTGCTGGAATTCCTGCAAAAGGTGTGTGTGTGTGTGTGTGTGTGTGTGTGTGTGTGTGTGTGCACAGGCTCCCACTGTGTGTGTGTGTGTGTGCACGTGTGTGTTGGAGACTTAACAGGAGGGCTATTAGTGGGGAAGCCTAAGGCGTCTTAATGTAGGTAGGAACTAGAGTATAAGAATACAAAGCAAAGGGAAGGTCTAACTGGAGAAAGAAGGGGATAAGCTGGAGTAGTGGTAGGCATGGCAGACGGCGGGGTGAGGATGAAGAAGAAGAAGAAAGCATGATGCCACCTGTATGAAGAAGTCGAGATGAAACCCATTGCCTTTTGTTTTCCATTGAATTCCATCAAACGAAAAAAACTTTAAACAACTCTGTCTTCTGGGGCGGCGAATTCTGTTATGTTAAGGGCCAGCTACAGTTACTGTAGTGGAGTCTAGAAATCGTGAAGAAAAGCACCGTGGTTTGGCCATTTAAATGTTTTTTAATTTGTGATGCCTCTGGTTCATGGTAAACATGAGACCGCTATTTCTCAAGTGGCAATGCAGACAGAGGCAAGGTTTCTTGACTCTTTTTGGATCTAGTTTTGTCTGCAGTTTCCTTTATGTTCTGCCACAGATTTGTGTGTGTGTGTGTGTGTGTGCGTGTGCGTGCGCATGTGTGTGCACCCACACTTGTAGTTACACCGATGTTCACATCACTTTCTGCCATTTTGCCCACATCACCCCCTTTCCTTGCACAGGCTGAGTTGTGAGCAAGCCCACTGACACAGTGTCCTAGCTTCCTTTCACACTCTGGCCCTGGAGACTTCATCCACATTAGTTCCTGTGGTATGAGCACCAGTGACCATGTGGGTGCTGTCACACCACAGACCCTGGGACACAGAGCGATACCTTTGCCTGGCTCCCTTGTCTCCTGCCAGGGATGGAGATACCCTGTTCCCTTTCACAACCCACTTGGGCATCCCCTCCTGGGTTCATCTTCCCTTGATTCCTACCAGAGCTCCTATCATCTGCTCCTCCTTTCTGGACTTGGGCCTCAGGGTGTTTTCGTCTATACTCTGCAGGTCGCCATCTTGCCTGTCCCCTCAGCATTTAGCTCTGTGTGCCCCATTGCTCTCACCACACCAGCAGCATAGCAGCATGCACCCAGTGATCCCTTTTCCCATTTCCGGCCCCCAGTGCCAGAAGGACTAGTTGCCCACCTGGGACTCTGCGACTCCTCCTCAAGAGAGATTTCAGGTCCTGTTCTCCTTTGCCTTCTGGGCTGGGATGTGCGATTCTTGGTCCTGGTCCTGGTCAGGAAGCTCAGCACCTCAGGGGCATAACCAAGGGTGGACAAGAACCTGGCTCTTGACCACGGCCTTCTCAGCCCCTGCCCACCCCGGCCAGCAGTTCCCCACCCTCTCCTCCCTCCCCAGTTTTTGGCTTTCTTTAACTTACCATTCAGGGCTGCCCCCAGAGACTTGGGGCTTTCGATTTTCACTTCCCACGGGGCAGTGGGAGTAGAGGCTCTGCAGAAGCCCAGGGTCACAGTGGTCCAGGGGCTGGAGCCCAGTCTTGGAGAGACTGAGAGTGGAGTGGGGTCCAATTTCCAGTCCAGGCTCTCTGCACCCCAGGAGAAGCTCAACGGCAGCCCAGATTGCTCTGTCTCCCAGATCTCTGCATTCTCAGGGACTGGCACAGGCTCCATGTAGACAGAGTATTTGTGGCAGGGCGTTATGAATGAACACATATTCTTCATTCTCTCTTTTGGAAATGTTGCAATGGGGGGTGGTGGGAAGGGGGAGCAGACTCAGAAAACGGCTCAGCAGGCTGCTGGGGAGCTGGGAAGATTCATGTTTTCCTGGGTGCCACTGGTGGTGGTGGTTGACATTAGGCAGTGTGTGTTGGGGGGGGGCGTATGAGAGACAGAGAGAGGTAGACAGCGCATGCTATCATGCCTCTGTGAGCCTGTGAGAGACAGAGACAGAGAGACACACAGAGAAATACACACACCACACATGAGAGATAGAGATAGAGACAGCGAGAATGCGCTTGAGTGTGTGTGTGTGTGTGTGTGTGTGTGTGTGTGTGTGTCTTTCGTGGGGGAGGGGTAGAGAAGCCCCTGGTTATTGGAACACTGCTTGTAGGCTCCTTCGGGCAGGGTTTATCTGGCTTCAAGGCCACCCCAGCCCTTCGACCTAGGTTCTTGCTTGGGTTATGGCAACCTTCCATTATGGGGGGAGGGGCAGAAAAACTGCCCCCCGCCCCCGCCCTCGCCCTCGCCCCCGCCCTGTATCGCCCCCCTAAGACATGGAACCCGAATGCCTTTGGTCCAGAGCGCAGTCCCGTCCTTGTCATCCTCTTCTCCAATGCGTGGGCGCCCCAGAGGCTGCGCACTGGTACCCCAGCCCAACTTCACCCCGCCCCCGCGCCCGCCCGCCCGCAGCTCCGCAGCCCCACAGCCCCGCAGCAGCCACAGGAGGAACCAAAGAGACACAAGCCTTCCCAGCTGCCCGGACCACAGACGCCAACACCCGCCGCCCCCCACCACACGCCGCCCTCCCGCCCGCGCCCCGCACGCAGTGCCAGTCAGCCCACAACCGAGCGGCGGCGGAGACTGCAGACTGCGCAGACTGCGCTGTGCGCGCTACCGGCCGGCGCTCGCCCCCGCTCCCTCGCTCTCCCGCTTGCTCGCCACCCCGGGTGACTCTGTCCCGCCCGGCCGGCCAGACCGGAGCCCCTGTCCGCAGCGCCCGCGCGAGCCCCCGGCCCGGGTTCCGGCGCCCACCGGCTCTCGCCGCCTCTCCGCCCCCTCAGTTCGCGGCAAGGGAGGTCGCAGCAGCGGCCCGGCGGCAGCGGTGACCGTGGCGACCGCGGCGACAGTGGCGGCGGAGGTCGCTGCAGCGGCGGCTGCGGCGGCGGAGGCTGCGGCGGCGACCGTGGCGGAGGCGGTGGCGGAGGCCTCCGTGGCGGAGGCGGAAGCAGAGCTGGAGGCTGAGGTGGAGGCCGAGGCCGCGGCGGTGGCGGCGGAGGCCAGCCTGGGGGAGGCGGCCGCCCTGGCGGGCAAGAAGGCAGAGGCCGCCAGCGTGGCCGCGGCGGTGGCAGCCACCGAGGCCAGCCTGGCAGAGGCCAGCCTTGAGGAGGCCACGGGGGCCGCTGCGGAGGCTGCTGCGTCGCCTTCCTACGGGAGGGTGGACATGGATGAAGAGCTGGCGGCGGCCTTGGCTGCAGAAGAAGAAGAGGCGGCGGCCGGGGTCTCCGATGGGGATGGGAACCCAGACTTTCCCACGGCCTCGCTCTACGTGGGCGACCTGCACCCCGAGGTGACCGAGTCGATGCTGTATGAGAAGTTCAGCCCAGCCGGGCCCATCTCGTCCATCCGCCTTTGCAGGGACAAGGTCACCCGCCGCTCTCTAGGCTATGCATATGTCAACTACCAGCAACAGGTGGACGCCAAGCGGGCCCTGGAGACCATGAACTTTGACATTATCTATGGCAGGCCGGTGCGCATCATGTGGTGCCAGAGGGACCCATCGCTCCGCAAGAGCGGCGTGGGCAACGTCTTCATCAAGAACCTGGGCAAGACCATTGACAACAAGGCGCTGTACAACATCTTCTCGGCCTTTGGCAACATCCTGTCCTGCAAGGTGGCCTGTGATGAAAAGGGGCCCAAGGGCTATGGGTTCGTGCACTTCCAGAAGCAGGAGTCCGCAGAGCGGGCCATAGATGCTCTCAATGGCATGTTCCTCAACTACCGCAAGATTTTCGTGGGGAGATTCAAGTCCCACAAGGAGAGAGAGGCCGAAAAGGAAGCCTGGGACCAACAGTCCACCAGTGCTGACTTCAAGGATTTCGAAGTTGACTCGGATGACGAGGCCACCTTCCGATGAAGACATCCCAGGACCCAGCCAGTAGAGCCAAATCTTGGCTCCCACCCCGTTTACAGTCCCCCTCCCCCAACCCACCAACAGTGTATTGTATTGGGAGTGCAGGTTTCTCTCTCCCCCTCCCTTCTTCACCCCTCCCTCTCCCCTCCCTTCCCCTTTCTCCCTTTCCCTCCCTCCCCCTCCCCCTCTCTCCCTCCCTCCCTCCCTCTGTCCCTCCCCCTCCCTCCCTCCTTTCCTCCACTCTCCTCTCCTCCCTCCCCTGCCAGTGCTAGCTAGCTTCCCCATCCTCTCTCTGCTCTCAGCCCCTCTTTTCCCTCTTCTCTCCTCTCCTTCCCCCTCCTTTCTCCCCAACCCCAGTCGGGCCCCCACCCCACCCACCCCGCCTGAGAATAATCCCACTAATCTGTGCCATTTGAGAGGTTAAAGGCTGCCTCTTCTGCCTGTGGTCGGTCTGATTTTTAAAAGCGTTTTCTGTCTCTTTGTTTACTGCGCAGGTGATGCAATGTCGTGGTAGAAACAGCTGGAAGGAGAAGGAAGTCTGGTGTGGGAGAAAGAACCAAGAGTGCAATTGCTACCCCTCATCCTAATGCTCAGAGAGAACCTCTTCTACCTTCTGTGGTGTGCTGTTTTTCCAGGCTCTCTGCTAACCCTTTCTCCCCTCTCACCCCAGACCCACCTTCCCTTTGAACATATTCTTGTAGAGTGTGGTTCATGGATGTGGTGTTTCCTAACCTGCTTTTTTCAGCGACTAAAACCAAACAGAAATCAACGCGTTGAACTTTCCATGCTATTCAACAGGCTTATGGAACGTCATCTTCAGTGCCTGCCTGCGGAGTGCTCCTGTGTATCCATGGACCTTAACATTTCTGTAACCATTCCCGCATTGTTGGACATTCAGGTGGTGCCTAGTTCTTTCCCTGTGTTTAAAACCAACACTGCGTGCCCTGATGAGTGAATCCTTCCTTGTCAAACCAAATCTAGGCTAGCATCCTGGATGGTCTCTCCTTAACTGTGGACTTGCAGGATCCACATATAGATGTTTCAAAGACTTTCCCTGTGTGTTGCCAAAAGGCTCCCTTTCAAAAGCATTGTACCACTTTGTATTTGTGCCAGCCAGCCAGTGCAGCTAGTAAAAAAATGAGTATGTCAATCTCCCCTGCAGAGTCTCATGGTCCACTGTAACTGGTTGTATGTGTGTGTGTGTGTGTTTTCGCGCGCGCAGGCGCGTGTGCATGCGCGTTTGTGTGTGCAGTGTCATGAGCTGCAAATAGTATTTCACTGTTGTTAGTTCACTGGAATTGAAAGCTGCTAATCACCCCCTTTCTGCATTCCTGCTTTCTTTCCTTTTCCCTCTTGCCAGAAAAATATATAAGCTATGTTGCAGGAAAAAAATCACTAAGCAGATGATTTAACCCGAAGAAATGGAATGCTATCAGCAATCAATCCTAAAGACTCCCATGCTTTCTTGAATTGTACTGATCCCTACGTGCCCAGTGTTTTTCCTGTGATATATATGTGTATTTAATATATAATATTTCAATATCTGCTTTTTCATGCATAAAATATAATATAGATTATAGACATAGATATATAGATATTCTTGAACTTCCTTTCATTGTCATTAAATATTCTTCTAAAATACTTACTGTGTTTGTGTAGTTTTCCAATGAATGCGCCAAATTTATGGGCTAGTTACATGCATGCTTCTATATCAACATTTACACACAGATATAGAATATTCATTATGTTTTCACCACTCCTCTTTTTTTTGGACTCGTGTGTTTTTTTCCTTATATAACCCACTGCTCTTATTAATGAAACCTAAAGGGTCTTCCCTTATACTCAAAATATTTTTCCTAATCAAATAATGTTCAAATTAAAATTGAGTGTAAAGGGAGGTCTAATTTTTTCTAAGTGTCCTTCTATTAATGTAGTTGCATTTTCCTCTCAGAATAACACAAGAGTCAGAAGTCTTAAACATCTGGTCAATTTTCTGGGGTGTGTATGACATTACTTTTTGCATAGGTATAAATTTTCAGTGCAATCAGATTTTGCTTTTACTTATTTAAATCATGTATCTTTATTAAATTAATAAAAGTACTTAAACTAGCCTCACTTAATAAACAACAAACACTACTCAACCTCTGGACAACATAAAATTTGAAACTTGGAACATATACATAAAAGAAACTGATACCTCCAAAAGCTTAAGATGAATTATATGTCTGATTTTGAGACATTTTCACTAGTTGAGGCTTTTTATATCTCCAAATATTTCTTTTTTGTGGATGAGGTATAATTTCAGTCATATTTTTTCAATGGTTATAGTCTTTGGAGCCCCAGTTTGGTCATTATTAACAAGAAAATACTTTTAAGTATTTGTAGTATTTTTAGGGATTATATACATTACTGTCTTTTGTCAAATGTTCTTTCCATAAAATTCATGCTTATCTACAGTATAAATAGTTCACATTTCTCTTCTTGTGTTAGTATTTTCAAGTCATGAGAAATTGGTTAGAGTTCTATATATTTTTGTTTTATTTTACAAATACATTTATTTTTTACAGCATGGTGTGAATATTAAATACACCCAACTGCTTTAAAGTAAGCATTTTTACTGCCTAGTGGTATATTTTAAAGCAAACACCAAATACTGAATATATTCCATATTAAATGTATATTTATATTGGATTTATTAGATGAAATTTCTTATATATAGACACACATGAGGCACATTTTGCTATTTAATATTTTCCCAAAACTCACTAATTCTATAGGCATATCATAATTTGTAAGTGTTTCTGTACCTTGGACATAAAAGTATTTCTAAAATTTTCCCAGAATATATACGAATTTTTTGCAGTAGTAGTCTTATATTGTTTGCTTAAGATAAGTGCCTAAAAGTTGTATTGAAAAGTAGAAGTCTTTTAAATGCCATTATTTGTTCCATCCTAGCTGTATAAGTTTACATTAACATGTTAGATAAATGTCCATTTTCCAGCATAAGTTCCCCCCTAGTTATTAGAAACTGTTCTTTCTAATATCACTCTATGAAAAGTATACCTCATTTTTGCTTGCTTTCTTTTTTATAGATTTTTCTGGTAATTCTAATAATTTTTAAATATAGGTAAAGTTACAAAAGTAAAAATCAGTGGCTATACTATCTATGTATATAATGCATTCCTTGATCTTTGTTGAAACCAAATTTTGGTAGGCTTGATCTTCATCTGACCTCATTTTTTGCTGAATTTTAATATGTCTTTTTTATATTTTCCGCATTCAAACGAAAGATGCTAAGAATATTCCTTACTGTCATTTAGACCCTGAACATTCTTACTGACAAGTTTAAAGCTTCACATTACTGTTACATCGTGATTTTAATTTCATGTAATCCTATTGATAGATGACAAACATGATCAATTTCTTATAATTTGATCCTTAGTTCTGGACAATGTATTTCCAGAAATATATACATATTTTATTGCATATTATAATCAATATATTTATTTTATGTAAAATACCAAACCATGCTTTACATCTTTACACTGATTCACAATCTTTATTCAGTAATAAACATCTGTTATTTCTGTATTTATTTTTCTACATCACTTCAAATGGTCTTTCAATTTTTTGTGTGTACATAGATTAATTAATTTTTAATTTTCACATTGCCAGAAATTTTATTTATTCTGAATTTGGCTTTAATTCAAAACATCTATGCTGACTTTTATTTTAATTCATAGCTACTTCCATAATCATTTCCACAGCAAATGTTTGTATAACAAACAGAAAAACATAATACATTTTAAAAGAAGGTTTATTTTATGGCCCAATTTCTGCTTTTAAGATTGGATTGGCTTATATACTGCGTTATTCCTATCTAAAAGTGTGCACATTTTTCTGCATATGGATTTCAACCACTACACTAAATTTTGGCTTTACTACATTACCAGAAAATAAAACATGAGTTACACTTTAAAAGTTTTCTTAGAATAAACCTTTTTCTTTTATTTGGTCAATAAATCCCAGAAAAGTAGTATATAGAAGGCCATAGGATTTAAGTATAATGCTACCACTGAGAAAACACATAATTACAATATGTATGATTTTCATACTTTTTTAAAAGGAGAAATGGCCAATTTTATTAACCTATTCCATCAATTTAATACAAAGAGCAATCCAGAAGTCCACTTTGTTTTGTCTCCTCACACACTCATGCATATGTATTCACTCATTTCACATGTTTACAAAC